TGTTAGGACATCAATAAGGTGAGATTTATTCACAGTGCACTGTCCTGTCTCAGCAGAGTCTCCTGCAGAACATCTCGTCCATGTTGAGGCAGGTTTCATGATGACTGTGGGTTCATGCTGTTGTTAAGGTGGGCTATAATTACATGTCCTGATGCAAGCCGTCGAGACAGAGGACTCAGTGAAGGTGTTTGTGTTGTCGTTATACCATTTCCCGAGATTGTTTTGCTACTCATCACTATTTCAGTAGATTATTGTGAATTCGTCATCAAAAACAACATGGAATTTGATCTTGATGTATTTTTGACAGTGCTGGCAGACAAGGGTGAGGTTTCAAGGTTACAATTAATTGATGGGGAAAGTGGTTTCTAGATCAGAGTTTAATATTTGTCAGAATGAAGGTCAAACATATCTGAACTGATCTTTATTAGACATAATTAGACCCCATATATATTGGAAGGGCTTACTTACTCTCTCTTTTTGTTCATGCTTCAGCTTTATTTGATTTTAGAAAGTTGGATTATTGTGTAAAAGTCTATACCTATGTGTATTAGTTTAACCTCCGACTGAAACTAGTTAATGTTAACAAATCCAAAGTGACACTAACCTCTGGAAAGACACCCTGTGCTGTACGCAGATCAAACAGTGTCATGTCCCTCTGTCCATACTGTGTAAACATCATTCAACACAGGACGCAGCTACACAGTGTCTATAAATGGCTGAATGTATTGATTCCCACAGCTGACGTTTATGACAGGGCTGCCCTCTGAAACAGTGTTCAGCAAACTGAATGCTCTGTAACTGGGGTGAGAAGAGCTCAAGCCATCACTGTTATGTCGTGTGTCAGATAAATACATTCCCATACTGCACACCTGCATGGATGTGGAGGGGCGTTTCAAGGCAGCTGGCAGCCAGGCAGCTTAACAATGAGCCACAGGGGGCACAAACTACAATGAAGCAGCTGTAGCTAATCAGCTAATGCAAGCACAACTTCACTATGGAGAAATGGAAATACAATTAAGTTCCAAATAAATAAATACATCTAACATTTTTAAATAACCTAATTTAGATGTACACACAGGCTTTACAAATGAAATATTAAGAGCAGAAAATGTATTTAATGAACTACTTAATTGTAGATAGATATTCAGGCATGATTCAATTGGATTACAACATCTCCAAAAATGCAATTGAGGTAATGCTAATGTAACATAAATAACATATTCAAATAAATAAACCATATATAAATAGAAAATGTATTATTCATACAAATGAATGCATGTTTTGGTGCACTGTAAAGTGTTGTTTATATACAATTGGTAAGATATCTATATACTCACTTTTAAACATGCCTTATGTCAAATTCAAGGACTACAAATTAAAATACACTCACTTTTTTCAAAACATGTATTTTATTCATTTATCTTAAAAAATTAAAATAAAGTGCTTTTTATGTACAATATAATAAAAACAACAGTCACAATCTCAATGATACAAAAAATACAGTTCACAATGTTATTTGTACACAACAAATAAAAAAGGAAATCATGCAGGCAAGACCACATTTGTCTAATAGCAATTCAGTCAACTAAGCTTATGTTGTTCAGTACGCTGAGGCAAAGCGCCGCCGTGTCTCATGGCTGAGCCGATACGGAGGATTTGGAGCGGTGCTTGCATCTTACTGCAGCACAACATCGTGCAGCACAAATGATTAATTACTTCTATTGTGCCGTTTCATTGTAGTTTGAACCGTTTGAACAAAATCCTAATATGGTGTTGCAATGGATTGCCTACTGGAGCGGCCTTCCTAGGAAAATACACCGCTGTAGATGCTCTACAAAAACATGTTATAGTTGGCTACATTCATGTCCTGTACAGTATGTTGCATGACTGAGGAGCCACTCAAAATGAAGCGTCATTCACCAGGTTATTATTGACTTTTTTTGTGAAAAGCTTGTCATTAATAAATATGCATTCATGACACATTATTGACTTTTCTGGTATTAGGTCAAATAGTATAATTCTTAAATATTGACCTCTACAGAAAGATGTTTCCTATATGCACAGTATAACGTCTGACAATGCGCAGAATAGTACAACATTTCGAGCAGCTCCAGGTCCTATAGTTTGCAGGTAATGGTGGCATGTGAAATCTACTGTTGACCCGTGTGGTGTTGTTGAGTTAAGTGTGCCCACGGAGGGCTACAATCACGGCCTTCACCACATCTCCGGTGGTGAGGTCACTGCTGGGTAGAGCTCGATGTGGCACGTGGCTAAAGGCAGAGCAACTTTATCTAAAGGCATTTTGAAAATATGCAGTGAGGTTATCCACCAAGCATCTGAAAGCAGGGTTTTCTGTCTCCAGAGAAACGTTATATATATATGTCAAACAATGCTCTGGGCCAAGGCTCTTAGAGGCTGATATTATTGTTATGCATCTGTTGGAAAAGGCTTTACTCTTGTTTATTTGGTTAGCCTCAGCTAAAAAGATTAAAGGAGAAGGTAGAATGTTTGAGAAATACATGCATTTGTTTGTTTTGCAGAGTAAGATGAGAAGATAGACACAACTGATGTCTTTACAGTATGGTGAATATAAGCCAACAGGCTCAGTGGAAAGAACATTTAGGAAATGATGTTCAACGAGGCAAAATGTGCATACCAGCCACTCTAAAATGTACCTTGTGTTTATCACTGCAAAACTGTGAGAAAGTGGGGCATTGAGGTTTTACGGAGAGTTATCTGACGGGCTAGTTCCTGGCCGTGAGGAGTGACGTTGTGTTGAGGTTTTCTGGCAACCTCAACACAACGTCTGGGTGTTTTTTTAACTTTTGGACAGAGCCCGTTTCCTCATTTTCATTCTGTATGCTAAGTTAAGCTAAGGTTAGCATCTATCTTCTCATCTGACTCTCAGCAAAAAAGTGAATGCTGCTCATCCTACTATATCACACACCTCTAATTGAGTTTGACAAATATAAACAGATACTCCTCCTGCTTTGACATGCTTGATGAAAACCAGCCCAAGTGCTGATCCAACAGCATGGTAAGAAATGTACTGTCTTGTGTGCAAGATTGGAAATGTTTGCTGAAGTAGGCAGTAAAGCACTATGAAAACAAAATATCAGCAGTGTTCACTCTCTAGTTTAAAGACTATCTCTACAACACATCTTGCACAAGGTCCCTTGAAAAACACACAATATTAAGCACAGATACTGTATATACACAACAAAATCGAACGAAAAAGGAAACCGACCGCTGTTGCGCAGTAAGCTGTGCAATTACTTTGTCAACTTGTAGCAGTTACATAACACTTCGTCATCTGCTCAGTGTTGTTCATAGCAAAAAGGTTTATTCTGTTTGATACTGGAATATATACTGTAGGCTTACTTGATCAATACAGTGAATTGGCGATGTATTCTAAGACATGTGTTGCCATATCGTCTATGGCCGTGTAAATGTTTCTCTTTCAGATTTACACAACACAATCAGCATCCTACATCTTTGGGAAATTCTGCTTGTTAAGTCTCAAAAGTCCAAGCTATGTGGGTGCAATGTGTTCGTCGTCATGGCTGCACTGGTCCCTGTGATTTCTACTAATCATTTTCCTCAGCAGCTACACCTCATGTCTCTCAGTAGAGTACACTCTGATTTTATTGACATGTGCAAACCTGTAGGTATTCAAGACCCTGATTACTTGTGCTTTCACATTACCATCGCAATGACATCTGACTGAGTGCGGGGAACGCCTTGAATGTTAGAAATGTAACCTGCTGGGGAGGCGGGGGGGTTATATTGAGCCTATACAGCGCTCTGTGCAACTACATCACTACATAGTGCAGCTGCAGTGTGGAAAAGATAACATGAAATATCATCCCTTCACTACGGAGACAGTTATTAATAGTTGTTCATTTTTGAGTTATTGGCGCTTGGATGAACAGTTTGTGTTTTTAGCGCTCGTCAAACTAGTTGTACTTGTATGTTTCAGTGTATAGTAAGAAGGCAAATAACTCCTTTGAGGGTAGCTAAAGGAAAAACTGGAATATGTTCTCACCTGATAACCGCGAGACAAGTGTTCACATGAAGAAACCTTCCTCCTTTGGCCCCAGTTCAGATTCTCCATGAACGTCAATTATTTTTGCTCAACACAGTCTGAAAAGTTCGTCATGAGCTAACAGTCTTCGAGAAATGTCCATCTGTGCACTTCACATTTGTTTATTATTAGTGCCACTTTTGTGAAACCCACTTCTGGTTCCTCCACCATGTGCTCTTCAACAGTGATCAATGCTAACGCAAAGCATGGAGTGGTCATGACAGAATGGCACTATTGCATTAGATAAGACAATCAAGTTGTTTTTTGGCACAGTGCACATGATGATTTTGCTGCTGCCCTGAAGATGGAGGGGTTGTGGACGTTCTTTTTTTTTCTTCTTGGCTCTCTGTGCTTGTAAAGTCCGCCTTGACTGACGTAATAATGTCAGGTCTCTTTTCCATATTTGTTTTAAGAGGCCATCATGGTACCTGCAGGTTAATACTGAAGAACATGGCTGCCTCAGAGATGTAGAGCAACAGGGTCCCTAATCGTCCATGGTGGGGTGATGTGTGAATGATCCTTTGAACAACAACATACATTCAGGAGGTAAATGTCAGTATTTAGGCCCTGGAGCATAACTTATGATCATCTTTCTTTTAGTTATAGTCCTTTTAATGTTTTTTCCAAGAGCATGTGGCGTCTTCTCCTGATCAGCCTCATCATCTTGATCCTCAGACACTCATGGCATTTATTCAGCAAAAAGGGAACAAATGTGCTCTTGACTTCCATAACGATGGATCATAAATGAATATGCAAAAAATGTTATATTCTCCTAAACCTGAACTCTTGGTGACCAAGTAGCTGTAGCTTGGTTCTAATAACAGAAGTACATCTTCTGCAGGGCATGTGTTACAGGTACTTAAATAAGGCTGGGAAACCTATCAATATTCATAAATAATTTTATAATGTCATTTAATGGACATTAAGTAGACATTTTAATGTTGGATCTTGCATACATTAAGTAATATGGTGATAAATATTGATATCAGCAGAAAGTCTTCTAGTTACTGGTGTTTTTCTTCCTCATATTGCCCAGCCTCACACACATCAGTGGCCGTGAGAATGACAAAGAGTTATATTCTGAGCAGCTGCCATGACTGTTGATCCTGGGCCTGCCTTATGCATCGCACCAGACCAACCTCTGGTTTGGGAGTGGAAATGGTTAAAGAAATGACTTCCGCATTGATCACAGAACAAAAGATGACTAAAATAAAGGATGTGCTGTGATGTAGAGGGATGTCAGGGTCTCCTCTCCTTTGCTCGGCGGCCTGTATCCCTCATGGAGATACAGGGGGGCAACTTTTTTTTAGCGAACACTGTGCTCTCATACGATAGAGTCTTTGATCTCGGAGCCTAGCCTCACTCTGGGCCGGGGGCAGGTCGGGGAATACTCCACGTGGCTCTCCTTCACATTGAGCGGCCGCCTGTCAGAGGCCTCGGAGAAGCTCTTGCTGTTGTCTGGCGAGGACTCGTGCGTGGGCGTGCTGCAGATGTAGTTGTCGTTTAACGTCTGGTAGCCCTTGTGATCAGAAGTGGAAACGGGGATGGTGCTACCGTTTAGGGGTAAGCTCTCAGCGGGCTTTCCCACAATCCTCGGCTTCTTCTGCTGCATGTTAGGGCACTCGCCTTGCTTCAGCATGGACTTCATGTGGTCTCGGTTCCTGTAGATGACGAACAGGGAGAAGACCACGAGGGAGAAGGCCAGCAGGGCGCACACCACGATCAGCTCGTTCCAGTACGTCTTGGTGTGGAGGACCTGCCCCGAGCGAGCCTCGCCCGGCAGGATGATGCTCTCCTCTCGCTCAATGTGCGGTGTGCGCGAGTGACCAATCAGAGTGGTGCTCTCCTGGCGAGGCTCCGCCCTCACACAGTAGTTGGCCAACAGCTGGCGGAAACCCTCCTCTTCGGACCAGCACTCGTAGGTCTCCACCCTGTCGGCCTGCGCCACCACCACCAGGTTTCCCTCTGGAGTGGCGTACAGGAACTGGCTGGCCGCGTCACTGTAGCTCCACCTCCTCTGCGCCAGGTTGGACCGCGACTTACAGGGCAGGACTTTGAAAGTGTTGATTGGAAGTGTGATGAGCTTGCATTGGGAGCCACCTATAAATACGTATGAAAAAAGGAGACAATGTAGCTTTAAATGACCTAAAGTTTCAGTTCAGTAACCCGTAGTTCAAATCTTGACCCTTTTCACATTTGTCTGTTTAAAAGCTAGAGCCAAAACAGCATTACAAGTCTTGCTCTATCCAGAGGTAACACAACCTGCCTACTAGCACCTTTAAAGCTCACAAATAAACATGTTGTACTTTGTTTAACATCAATCGTACCACCTGGGGTACCGGCAGTTTTAAAAGATGTTTATATTTCCCATAGGTGCTAATTAAAAATATCACACACTATCAGGGGAAGTAGAGCACTCTGTCAGTCATTTTAAAGCAGCCACAGATTTCCTCATGTGCCCGGCCTATTTTTGCTTTATAAAATAACAAATAAACACATTTTCCTCATAAAGAATCTGTGTGTTATTTTTTTAGATGAGAAAGAAAGAGATTTTTGTGGATAAGGAATTATTTACTGTATTAAACAGTATATATATGACTGCATATTAAGATGATAATTAAAGTGAATAGTTACACCGAGAAGTGTTTACTTTTACCTGCACTCATACAAATAAGCTAATATGTGTGTTGTTGTGGTGTCCAGTAGGTAAAAACACTTTAATTACAGAGCACTACACAAAGAGCGCCCACTCACGAGAAGCGGCTGGTCGGGCAGCTCTGGCGCTGGGGATCGTCCGGTTACAGATCGCTGATGTGTCCGCCTCCTCCACATCCTGCTGCCAGTGACTGAGACAACACACACCACAAAAACAACAGTGTGAGGGATGGCAGCTGTAAGAGAGGAACCTGCTGCAGTCGTTTAACCCTCTGTAAGTCTGTCATTGTTTCACCTGAAGTACAGCTCCATCAGCATGACTAAGAAAACAATCTTCTTTTAAAAGCTTGCTCGTCAACAAAATCAATAGGAACTTTGCATGCATTTTTAGGACTTTGTTTGGGTCTTTTAAGTAACCTGAAAATTATGTTTTATTACTTGTACTTAAAAATGAGTCAATGTGAATGTTGACAGATGAAAAAAAGCTTTTCCAAATATTCCTTAATTTGGAACCAAATGCCATTGAAATGTCAACGCCTGAATGCATTGCAGTGCACTGGTGAAAAGCAAGGAAATTGAATTGATACCTTGCAACTAAATCACCTAAAGAAATACTCAACTAGAATACCTTTCGAGAAAAGATGGATGTACTGTCCAAGCTGGAAGTTTAAATGAATTGACTTCAAAGCAGAGATGAGTACTAACAATCTTCACTTTAAAGTGGACCTATCATGCTATTTTTAGGCAATAGCATAGGTCTCAAATATATAAAAAACATGTCTATGAAGTGTTTTGCTCAAAATACCAAACAGATTACCCAAAAAAATTGATAAAAAGAAAAGGAGGGGGCTGAGCTCATGCGGGAGATTCTACCGGCAGATTCTGCGGTGATGAAACGCCATATCATGGATTATCAAGGATTATGTCTGAAACAGTACTGAGCTCAAAGGCTTTCTCTCTTGCCGGTTATACCACAAGGTGAGTTCCTTTGATTTCCTGCTTCTTCACACACATGCTCTCCAGTACAGGTTAGCTCTGAGTGTTAGCGATGCTAATGTAAACATGCACCGACCATATTAAGTCCAAAACAGTCGGGCATTGTTTCTGATAGCAACGTTTCTGATAGGGCCGTGGGCGTAAAGCCAGCCTACATTTCCGATAATACGTCATATCGGACGCAAATCTGGATCAGCTCCGTTGTAGCCCCGTTTTTAGAGATTTTGGTACGGAGGAAAAGAGAGAGGGTTTTATTTTCTGAAACTGAGTGAGTTCCCCGACGCACCGGGGACACATATTTATGTATAAAAGACATCAAAAGGTGCATTTTGCATGATAGGTCCCCTTTAAGTAAAAGCGCAAATGCTCCTATGAAAAGTAAAAATTCAAAGAAAAGCACCTGGTCAATAAACTACTCAAAGTAAAAGATACTTTTGGTTTTAATACGTAGGGCCAGATACATTTAGAAGTCCATTTCAGGCAAGATAAAGTCAAGTCTGGAGTCTTTGGTCAAGTCTTGTGTCTAAATCTATTATAGTGTCACAATGGAGAAATACACAAACAATGAGCAAAGGAAGATGGAAAAAATCTGTGTCTGTGTGTGAGCGCTCACCTGTCAGGTGGAGCCATCCTGACGTCCCGGCACAGCCGCCCGGTCCAGGCGCAGTAGGGGTCTCGGGACAACACACACTCTCCACAGCTCAGGTAGTTGGAGCAGTTTGCCACAGGAACCTCCACCAGCCCAGAGTTTGACGACACAAACAACAGACCCTGCGGATGAGACAAACACATGTGATACTCATTCCTCATCACAAAGGTTAACGGGCTGAACAGAACCTCAGCTTTGGGTTACTTATCCTGATTTCAAAAAGGACAAACCATGCCAAAATAATTACTCAAGACAAACAGAAGAATAAAACCTAAACAAAGTACTAACTCTGGCCAGCTGTTCTCTTACTTGATGCCAGCCAAGTCCTTTGATTCTGATCAAAAACATATGGCAGCGGTGCTCAAGTGGTCTCTACAGAGCATTGTCATTTACTTCATTATATTAACCTCACTTTTAACTCATTATGTATCATTGTGCTGGAGTGCTATTATCCAGAAATTGCTCCATGAACGTGATGCTGACGTACATTACGCCACCCTGTTCCCAAAACCAAAGACTATATTTAGGCCATGTTATCTACCAGTATATTAGATATACATCATGTGGATTACGTCTGTCCCTCATATCCCTATTTGGAGCTAAGAATATACTCACAAAAGTATCTTGAACTATATTAGAATTACATAATCTTAGATAAGATTGCTGTTTGGCTCCCCCGGGAGAGGCCATTATGTAATAAAAGAGAGGAAGGTAATGAAATGCAGCTCCGGGGAAAATGCCAGGGAGGATCAGAAACTAAGACCTCGCTACAGCTTCCAGGAAAACTCAATGGACCGGCCGCTGTGGAAAGAAAATTCCTGTAGCCAGCTCCGGTAAATCCAGCTCCTCCGCAATTGTATTACTTGAGAGTTTACGTATAGAAAAGGTAACATAACATTAAAAATGAACTGACACAAACCAGTATGACAACAATGATTATAGATGAGTATTAGGAGGTGAGATTTACCCTCTGAGGATCGAGTTCGATGTGTTGCACAGGCTGAGGCTCAGGAAACAGAATCATCTCCTCTATGATGTGCATTTTATCGTTGGCATTGATGGCTTTATGGAGCTTTCCATCATCTGCGAGACACAGGGGACAAGTAGAAGAGACTTATACTGTAGGCAGGGGACAGCTTGTAGGGGAAGGAAGCCATTTTGTGAAATCACAGTTTAAGTCTGAGAATACTGGGAGAATACCTTGTAATGTTATTTTTCTTTTTGATGATTTAAGGAAAGACCCACAAATAATAAATAAGTAGTTGTGTAATGAGCCGCACCTGTTCCGATGAAGAGCACGTCGTAGGCCCTCTCCATGCCTTGAATCTTGTGCACGGCGATCTGTGTGTAGCGGACGTTGCGTTTCAGCAGCAGGGGGGCGCTGCGGATCACACTGTCCATCAGGAAATGGTCCTTGACGAAGTTTAGTACTTTGTCGGGCATGTGCAAGGACGACTGGATACCCATTTGCCTGGCGTGGTTGGTTACACACTGTAACGGAGTAAATTAGAAATGAAATATGACTTATGAATTCCAGGTTTACTGCTTATCCCAGTAGACCTAGAAGTATAAATCACGAGACAAGATAGTGTCTGGTTTTACTTAAGAAGTACATTAAGATTGGAGTGAGGTATCATTGGAAACAAAGAATAGATACGTAGTTTTGTACGATAGCAGACCTTGAAACTGCTGCATTGACTAAGATAAGTTTGTAAACATGTTTTAAGCTTTTAGGCATTTGTTTTGCCCCAGGGACTTATGAAGAGTTAACTGTCAGCAAGAAAGCAGATTTGGAAAATGAAAGGAGAACATCTGCTTTAAATCAACCCAAAAACAGCCCTCGGTAACAACCAGAAATGTTTTGTTGGAGACCGCAGCATACATTTTTTGTAAATGTGATAACAAAATAGATATTTGACACGGTAAACATGTGACTCAATAGAATCTGATGCTAGTTGAAAGATCAAATGCACAGACTGAACCAAAATAAACTGAATTGCATGTTTATCACAGGGTAGTTCGTGCTCCACTCACCGCCCCGGGCCGTGGTTCTGGCACTGGATGGTTGTAGGTGTACCACTGCTGCGTCTCCCTGTTGACCTCTCGGTAGCGCCCGCTGAAGGCTCTCTCCACCTGGGCCATGGTGAAAGCACACACTGCCGAGCTGCCTGATGCTCCTTTATACCTGTGACAACATAAGACATGTATTTTACTTCTGTTTCAATGAATGCAACCCTTTTTATTCACCTAATCCCTCCTTTCTGCAGTTGTCATTCTTTACCTGGCAGCTTCTGTGTGGAGAGTGGGCACTTGAATGATTCCCGTATTACAACCTTTATTTTGTTGATACATTAATTAAACATTGGGGTTGCATGGGCTTGTGTTTGAGCTTCTTACAGCTGCTCGAAATTCAGAGGAGCCAAGTTGGAAAAAGGCAACTAGCCAAGTTTCCGTGCAGATATTAAATAAAATCTGGCTCAGGATGGTGTGTGTGAGCTGTATCTGTGTGTTTGTGTATAAACATAAACGGTGACAGCTCCATAACTCAGATTCATCACATGTATGTCAACGTTAAGTGATCCTCCTCTCGTTTCTTACCATTGGGAGGTGAAGACGCCATAGAAGACGGTGCTCTCCCAGCTGTCTCCCATGGGCTTCAGGACAAACATGTCCTGGATGATGTTGAAGGGGAAGCCGTCGTCCGGGAGGGAGCAGAGGAGCTGGGCCTTCAGGAAGGTCGTCCATTTCTTCTGCAGCACGCGCTCGCCGCCTCTATCACCCTGCAGACAGATCAAGTGTGTTATAGTATGTAACAGAAAATGTATGTTAAAAAAAAAAGAAGGCTTAGTTTTAAGGTGAGACACTTTCTCCATTCAGCAGATTGATGATGAAACATTCGAGTGTCAAACTCTTCTCATACGTACTTAAGCTAGACTTAAACATCCCTGTCTGTTTTAGTGGAGCAGGATTAGATATGGTGTATTTATCTAGCAGTTAGAAGGGTTAGAAAAGACCTGCAGATGCAATCCCTCGTCTTTGCTTCAGATGGTGCTGTTGTGATCAAATAAGGAAATCAGAAAGTGATATTGGGGCAGCAATGACCCTTTTTGGGGAAATAAACCGGACAAATAAAAACCAGGACTTTTAATGCAGCTCCAAGTATTTCAATCCTTTCCTGTGGTGTTGCGCGGAGCATTTGTACCAAACTACAAAAGGACATTTCCCCCATAAAATGTGGGAAATAAAAGCTTAAATGAAAAAAGGATGCCTTAGCACATATTGGTTGCTCTTTGAAGTAGAGGAGGTGGTGAAACGGAAAACAAACAATGGTTAGTTATTAATTACAGCTTTGAAATCAGCATCAGTGGTTCTCTCCTCTCTTCTCCTCCGAGAAACAGAGGAGGCATTCACTCCTTTTAAGCTGTCACTAAAGATAAAGATAAACAGTTATCAGAGTGCTCTGCTAGGACTGGCAATTATCAAAGATCTGTAAACACACACCGAAAGAAACTCCTCCCAAGTACAGCTCGCAAGCTGAAAAACACGGGAGGAGGAGGTGGAAGAGGATGACCAAAACAAGTGGTCTCGCCCAATCTCAAGACAGTTTCCTGCCACAGATCCAAAACACCACCAGAAGGAGCTTAAAAAACAACTCCTTATAACAGCACAGGAGTGAATGACCCGTGAGGAGACAACTCAAAACTATCAGTGGTGTAATGAAGTGAAGTACATTCAAGTATTGTATTTAAGTACGATTTTGGAGTACTTGTACTTTGCTTGACGATACTTTATACTTCTCCAATGTTGTACTTTTTACTCCACTACAAATATTTGACAACATTAGTTACTAGTTAGTTTAAAGATTCAGCTTATTGGCTAAAACGAAATACAAACAAACTAATAAATAAACTATGATATACAGTATAACTATAGGTTAGAGATATCGAGCACTAGTATGTAAAGTACTTACATTAGCTCCATCTTTACCAGCTGTGATGAATACATTAAAGGGGACCTATTATGCAAAATGCACTTGTTCATGTCTCTTCTACATCAACATGTGTCCCCTCTGTGGAAAGAGATTCTGAAAGTTTCAGGAAAAAAGATTCTCTCTCTTTTTGTCCTGATCCATTTCTATAAAAACCTGTCTGAAAATGAGCTGATAAGATTTTGGCCACTTTACGAACGATTTTCGTGGCTTGTGTAACCATTAGCCAATCACCAACCAAGGTAACCTTGTCACCTGAATCTCCTCCTAGAGCACCATTGTGTTCTTTTTAACCAAATCTCTCTCAGAGGGGCGTGGGGAGGGGCTCCTTATTTTCATCTAAAGTAACAGACAGAGAATCAGCACTTTGGAAACAGGGCTGAAACAGAGGGAATGCTGCAATGATCTGTTTGGTGTTTGGAGCCAAACACTTCAGAGACCTGTTTTGTATATATCTGTATAGAGACCTATAATAAAGAAATCAAAAACAGTATAATAGGACCTTTAAGGCATCAAAAAAAGTAATCACTTTTTTTTCATATTCATCTAAAATGGGACATCTCGCACAATAAGTACTTTTACTGAAGTATATTTCCATACCAATACTTTTGTAGTTTTACTTAAGATTTCAAATGGGCCTTTTACTTGTAACAGAGTATTTTTTACAGTATTAGTAGTATTTCTACTTTTACTTAAGTGAAATAGCCGAGTACATCTCACACCACTGAAAACTAAAGCGATGAGACATTTTCCTGCCTCAAAATCCAAAATATCATGAGCACGAGCCTGCGAAGCAACTCCTTCATGACAGCACAGAAGTGAATGACCCGTGAGGAAATGAAAAACATGCTAAAACTATAACTCTCCCTGTTTTCTCCTCTGTGTTGTTACACATAAACAATCTTGTTTCTCAACGCTGAGGTGAAAGCTCGTGGGGCCGATAGATGCCCGGTCTGAGAGCCTATTACTAGTCTGTGGTAGTAGCTCTTCCTCATAATGAGGAGACCACATTCCTGCTCTCAGCTGTCCTCTGCGCAGCTACTCTCAATCGCATCGACCACACCCCCGATAGCTTCTCTACAAAAACACACTCAATATTTTGTTCTGGATTACATTTTATCTGCATTTAAGCATTACAGATTCCTTATAGATGAAAAGAAGGTAAAGAAAGTAGTGCCACACTGCGTTGATAATCTGCCTGCTTTCCACAGTCAGTGTGCACACCTGAATAAACAAAAGAAAGAGGGAGCAGAAGAAGGGAGGGGGACAGATAGGAAAGAGGGGGAGAAAAAACTACTTCAGAAGCAGAATTACTCGGAAAACCCAAGTGAAACCGTAGTGAGGCCAGCAGGAGAAAACTGAAATGCCTTTGATATCTCACGAGAAACATGGCTTCTTTAAAACGTCTGGCAAGATGAACATATTCAAAATATTACAGATATCAAAATAAAAGCACATTAACATTTTTGGCCTTAGGGTATGTACACAGAGAGCATGCTTTCCGTCAGTCTGCAAGAGTGTGTTATACTAATGGTGTGTGTTCAGATATGAGACACTATTCTGAGAAAAATGTTAATAGATGGGGATGTGAGCCTGCAGCAATAGGGCGGGTTTCTCAAAAACATTTGAGGCTTTAATACTGGTCTGATGGGAGGAAAAGACACTGAGATGTGGCAGGTGCATGCGGCTGATCTGAAAACAACAGGAAATGAGTTACTGTAGCTGGTCGCTGATTTGTCTCGCTCACCAATAAGATCTGCAGCAGCAGCAGCTCTTAAAGGCAATTACAGTGCTTTAAAACCCTTGGAGCCTGATTGGAGCAATTTGCATCTCGTTCTGTGAGTCATATAACTCAGTGAGATCTAAAAACACAGACATGATATGCATATTTTTGAGTTTAGTGTGACTTACATATCTAGAGGATGTCTTTATCGCTGATGCTCATCACACACAAACATCTATAAATCACCCTAAGAATCGTTAAAAGATGCCTCTTACAACCCCAGAATTTGCCTGAAAATCATCCTGTTATTTTAAGTTTCCTTCAAAGTAATCCAGTTATAGCTTTCTGTACCTCCAAAGGTATGTTGCAAACAGAAACTACTGATGCACTATTTTCAACCTAAATTAAATGGTACCAAAATAGTAACAAATGTTATACACGGGGCTTAGTTGTAGCTCATAGCATAAAAGCTGTTAACATCCCCAAAAGCATCATGGGAACTGTAGTTCCATGTTGAGCGTGAGTTATTGTGACTTTTGCCTGAGGGGGGTAGCACAGTGTCAGATGTAAAACAGATCTAGTCTAATGCGTGTTTCACAAAAATAAGAACTGACTTATTAAAAGCCTAAGAAGTTATCCAACCCACAAGCTATATTTAAATTACAAGCAATGTTTCCATGGTTACAATGTGTGACACTTGTCCTTTAAGTCTTAATATACCCCAAATCCCTGGAAAATTAGTCCTTCTTAAGTCTATCTTAAAACCAGCAGCAGTTCTATGATATCGGTTGCTTGCATGCATAGAAAAGGGTGTTGGAGAACAACATTTGCAAGGCGTTCATTTGCACATCATTACAAACTACAAGAGCATTTATCTTAGTAGGAAGTGGACAGCAGTTGGAAGTCCTAAGCCTCATCTCAAAGATTTGTTCATGTTCGTAAGAATTACCCCAGTAAATTGGTGATTAAACCACCTGCTTCCCTACTGTATTGCCACTGAACAGCGTCTGAAAAGATTCCTGTCAGGGGAACGAGTGCTGCTGCATTCCAGAGAAATAAAGGCGCTTTATATCGCAGAGAAAGCCATTCTTCCGTCTCTATTGCAGCAAGTTGCCACTTGGGGCAAGTCTGGGGGCTTTCTGTCAATGATTTCCATATATAGAACCCAGGAGGAGCTCTGCCGGCTGAGAGAGGTGTCGCAGCTCCGAGTGCCAGAGTTCTGCAGGACTAAGTCATTAAGCTGTCACTTAAGATTACATGCTGCCCCCGTGATTACTCACATCACTGCCTCCACGAACAAGAGGCATCAGTCAGGGACGGATGCGGAGTGCATTTATAGCGGGCGGCCGTTTAATTGATCTGATCTCAGGTAGGGCTGCTCGATTATGGCAAAAATCATAATCTCGATTATTTGGGTCAATAATTGATTTCACGATTATTAAAAACGATTATCCATTTACTTTGAAAACATCCATTTATTGGAGAAAACAAATGTGAACAGTATGTTTTTAACAGTTGATTACCGTGAACTTTAAGTTTAATTCAACTGAAAAAAATAAAAATAAATAATCAATAAAAAAAAAAAAAAGTAATAATAAAAAAATAATCGTTTTATTTCGATTACGTTTGTTTTCGTAATCGTTGCAAGCCATAATCGTAATTGCGATTAAAATACGATTAATTGAGCAGCCCTAATCTCAGGTGAAAAGGGATAAAGTCTGCTGCTGATTATTCAGGATGATCGAACAAAACTAAACTCTTGTAGAGGAAGAGGAGGAGGAAGAAGGGGGTGACGTCAGCAGTTTAAATGATGCGAGTGAATTCTGCAGGTTCTACAGTTGGCATGCCTTTCCTGCAACAAAAACAGGCCATATAGTAGAGTGGAAAAAGCATTTCATATTGCTGCGAAGCACCCTTGAATACTAATAATGCCTGCAAAGCTCAAAGCGCTGGTGGAGAAAGGCAAAGAGCTGGAGGAGTGGACGAGTGCAGCTGACATTGTGAGGGAGATGGAAGGAGAGGGGGGGGACACTGCAGAGGAAAAGGGAGGGAGGGAGGGTGGTGTGTTGAGGAGGAGAGGATGATTCAGGAAAGGGGAAATCTGTTGAAAACATGTTTGCACAGTCAAAAAGAAAAGGATTCAGAGCACCCGTGACATATTTTCCACTGCATCTACACAGGCGTGACGTACGGCTAAATGTGACCAAACGTGCTCCGACATGGGAGCGTCCCTTCTTGTTTGGAGGTAATTGTACCGGGATTAGAGAGAGGAAGCATGAGGCCCGTACTGTGTCTGTTATTTTTGCGAGGTTGTCTTATTTAATGGCCCCAACCCCAGGTGTCTTACCTTACACACGCGAGCAATCCGCGACACAATGGTGTTGTCAAAGAAGTCAAATTCCTTCCCCGCCTCGCTGAAGAAGAAGTAAATCTTGTCGTCGTCTCCTATGGGGTTGCCTACCGGCTGACTCTCCTCGATGTAAGCCGACCCGACAAAGACGGGATCTGTTAAAAATAGATAAAGACAAAAGAAACACGTGTTATCATCCACGCTAGGAAAACAATCTCTCTACGCTTTAGTATCGCTCAAAATGTATTCAGAGAGCTGTGGACACTGGCTGTTTTGAAGTACATGTGCTGCGACTGATAGGGCCTCTCAGTCTGCATGTATTAGCCACTGCGCCTCGCTAATGATCGCTACTTTCTGGAGCTTATCTGCTCTGTTGGGTACATAATGGAAGATGAGTACAGTCTGCCATCTGATGGGGGTTTACCTTGCAGCCATTTTAAAGAGTTCTCCGTCTTCAGAGCGGTTCCCTGGCCCAAACTCTTGTAAATGACAGGCTCGTTCCCTTGGAAGTTGCTGACAGTACCGGTGTACAACTCACCATCTGGAAGAAGAAAAGGAAAATATTGCAAGACTTTAAATTAAAAACTTGATGTTGCTTTTAATTACACATAATGAATTACAAAGAATTGGTGCGCTGGGGGCTTCTCAAAGGATGAAGTCAGTAATAGCTTGGAGCAAAGTGAGAGCGGTCTAAGGGAGGGATTACAGAAATAATTTCTTCCACTCATATGCAGCTCAATTATTCGCTAATTGCTCGTCAAAGAAGTTGAACATAAACGCCTGTTGGTGTCCGGCTATTTATCAGAAGAACCAGCGCGGACAAACAACATTAGCAGGCACAAAAGGACTCATTACTGCATCAAAGTGGTAGTTTACATCACAGTAGCTTGGGAAACAGCCCATAATAATACCTTGTTCCTCGCACGGCAAAAGTTTAAAGTGACACAAATGTAGAAAAATGTGTGTGTGACTTCATACCAACAATGATGGCAGTGGATTTGTACTCTGGATTAAAGGGGCAGCGGCTGCGCCCGTCCTCCATCACGACCTCGCCCACTTCGTCTCTCTCCAGCGTGAACGTTGACGTGTTCTGGAGACAAGACACAAACAGAAAATGTCCCTCAGGCACAGTCCAATTAAACTCTACTTACAGTAAAAAGCCAGCTCGGGCTCTTTCTCTGCACTTCTTCATTACAATATACACCGTGAACAGACTTTTAGGGAGTTCAGTCACTTTGAGCAGAGAGTAGCTCTGTCTGGTGAATAACATCAGGATTTAGGATACTGTTAGTGACAGGAAACTATGTTATGTATACAGTAGATAGAGGGTATGGCAGTCATATGTATACATCCTTGTTGATCTGATATGAAAGGATCTGTTTTGAGATACTTTTTAAATTGGCAACAGTGAATTGATCCCATTTCCTGGTTAGCCAAAACCTGATTTATCCTATTCATCAATGCTTTCGAGCTGCTGTTAAAAAACATCATTAGGCTTCACTGATTACTATCACTTCGAACACAGCTACTGTAGTTTTTTGTGAATCAACGACACATACACCATGCTGTTCCCATAAATGCTAAATAATGTGTATTAATGTGTAATCCTTTGCTCCAAAAAAGTCCCAGAACTCCTCAAACTCGGGTATAAATGATGTCATGCTTCCAACCAGCTGTTGCAGGAATTAACTAAGCCTCTGAAAACATTTGTATGATATAATGTGTGACCTGTTTTTAAAGATTCATGTCATAAACTAGGACAAATAGACTTTGGGATGAGTGGATAAGCAGATCATCATTAAGGGACAGATTTAAGTTCAGTTAGCTTTACTATTTTAATTTGTTGAGATTAAGCAAATACACTTACTTTATCCTTTAACGTGCCTTTCAAAGTACTTTTTTTTCTGTATTCAGGCAGGTTTATTTGATTAACACCGCAAACAAACTTTAATCATGATAGGACTTTACAGATAATAAAAACTGAGATTTAGTGTTAATTACAACTCCATAGAACATTATTTTAGGTGCCTGAGGTTGGTTAATATACATACAATATGGTTTTTTCAAGTGTATATGTCATTATATAGGTCATTATTCAGTCTCTGAGAACAGCTGTATAATGTCTTCTTTGGCTCTGGGGAGCTTTGAGGAAAAAAGTCTGAGAAAATATGACGTGAATTGCGTAATCTCAGGGTTTGGCTTTTTAAGGGAGTCTGAGTAACAAACAGAAGGCAGGAAGTTTGAACATGTTGTTACCGAGCAGGGCAGGGAGAGTCATCATGTTGCATTATGTGTGGGTGACGTCTTCCAAATACTCTTTTGTCCGACCAACAGTCTAAAACCCAAAGATAACTTAAAGAAAAGAATGGCAGCACATTCTCAAATTTGAGAAGCATGACACTTAACTATACAAATGTATCGATTATCAAAATTGTTTTCCTTTTCTTCGACTGATTAGCCAATTGTTTAAAGACTGTTTAAGAGTTTAAAATCTAAAAATATGTGACAAGTCTTGAAAATATTCCCATTTGTTCAATCTATCTTTAAACAAACCATACAAGGGTGGGGATTTGGTGCTCAACAACTGTCTGTAAGATATTCTCTTCAGCCAGATTGAATGCATTTCTGCACAAAATTAGAACGTATATTTATTGTTCCCCATCACTTAAATTGAAAATGCTCACAGAAGGTATCTACTTACAGCCAGTACAGAGAAGAGGAACTATTACAGTGAGCAATAAAGCACTCAACATGCATATGAGAAGGTGAATATTGCATTTACATAGAAAAGATTACGTGTTCAATTTGCAGTAATAGCAATACCTTGTTCCATTTAATCAAATCAAATCGGACAGTGTCGAGTGCCTCTGTTTCCTGGAACATCTTCCCATGCTTAATCATTATGGAGTTGTTTTTATAGCCAGGGTTTGTTTTAATACATGTCTGTCATCTGATTGTTTAATGTATCTTCTTGGCTTCAGTTCAGTGTCTTGTTACCACACACACACAACACACAACACACAACACACACACACACACAACACACACACACACAACACACAACACAACACAACACACACCACACACAACACACACACACACACACACCACACACACAACACACACACACACACACACACACACACAACACACACACACACACACACACACACACACACACACACACACACACACACACACACACACACACACAACACACACACACACACAACACACACACACACACACACAACACACAACACACAATACACAACACACAACACACAATACACAACACACAACACACACACCACACACACACACACACACACAACACACACACAACACACAACACACAACACACAACACACAATACACAACACACCAGCACACACACACACACACACACACACTACACACACACACAACACACACCCACACACACAACACACACCTACACAACACACACACACACAACACACACACACACACACACCACACACAGCGGAGATTCTGAACAGTTTTTAAGAGCAGAGTTGTCACCAAACTGGATGGTCTCCCTATCACTGAAATCAATGTCATCTGTTGTCCCTGCTGGTAACCATCACTCCAGATGTACTCCTTCGCTAGATAAACAGCTCTCCTGCTGGAAACCACACAGCCCGTGGACCCCCTGCTGACTTGTCTGGCTAAAGTGCCTCCAGAAGCGTTTGGTTACGTACGGATAACCGCAAATCCAATTACTGACACGGTGGATGAAAAGAGCTTGATTCAACCAGAAACACACAAACAATACATCTAAATTCAGAAATGAGAGGAGGAGAGGAATTGAAGGTCTGATAACAGGAGGAACATTCAATCCTGTAGGTGAACAAAAGGTAGACTGAGAGGTTGTTACTTACTATGTAGGCGCAGATTGGGCTGAAGGCGTAAGTGCCACACACGTAGAGATGAGTGCTGTTCAGCCGCAGGAGGATTTTGATGTAATTGAAGCAATCAGTCTGGATGGGGAACAAATGAAGAGTGTGAGGTCCATGAGTCCACGAGATATTCTAACCGTTTAATGTGTTTTTTTTAGAGCTCCTTCAAATCTGAGCCTGAGATACTGAAGCTGGCATCATAAGTAAATCTATTAGACCAAAAAGAAATAGTTTGAAACATCTCCTCTTTTCCTCAAACGCTGTGGGGAAGACTTCACATGCAGTACGCCTGGTGGGCTTTTCTCTGTAATACACAGACTAGAGTTGTATACTGCAGTGTAAAGATTTCCAAGGTTTGTCGCCTAGGGATACAGCAGCTGGCATGACAACAAGGTAACAGGCAGACAGAGAGAAAATAGCAGTGCACGGGAAAAGAGCAATTCCCCGGCGAGCGTGCACACTTGATGAATCTATTTGTAACTGGTGGAAAGGTTTGTCGACACATAACTCAATGCCGATGTTATCTTCTCACGACTCGAGTGAAAGGATTCACACAGAACAAACACCTGGTACAAGAGAACCCATGCTCTAGTTATTGTCATTATACAGCTCTCTTCCTGGGGTGTTTCATTATTGAGCGTTTTTCTGGAGTAGTAAAAGATGCCTCTCACCTCCAGGTCCTTCCCTTTGAAGCTGCACTCCTCTCTTTTTCCAGCAGGAGTGCCCCATGTCAGCTGAAGATGAAAAAGAAGAAACACTGAATAAGTAATGCCAAATATAAGGAGCCCTACTGTTTCTACTGAGGACGATTGTTTCTCTAATATCAAATGTATAAACAGAACTGTGCGGTATAGAAATAAACAAAATGTGAAGTGAAGAAAGCTGCTATTTAACTCAAATTATTACATGGCTAAGTTGAATACTCGATCTATTTGGACATTTCAGAGGTTGTTTATACTCGCTAACACACCGCTGCTAGGCATAACATGACCGATGCTAAGGAGGATCAAAGGATTATGAGCCTATCAATCGACAGTGAGAAGTTTGGTCGATTAAACGTCAGCTTTGGACAACAAACATTAGTTTTTATGCATCAGAAAACTGACCATTTTTTCTTAGCGGAAGCAGTAAGATATCTTTTGAGTCAATAACATACTTTTCAATTACGATTGGGAGTTAAAGGTGGGGTAGGTAATTCACTTCAGAAACACTTTTGGTTATATTCAATGGAATGCTCTTAACATCCCGATAGCAATGAATATATGAAATGCTTTGACAATAGATATATACAAATATTTCATCTGTGGAAGCCGTGGCGCTGTAAAAAGCACGACCAATCATCTGCCCCGGCCCGGAACAGATAACTGGATGGCCTACCTGCCTGTCAGCCTTCCATCTGTGCACAAACTTATCTCGTGCCCTCATTGGTCATGTGCGCATTCGTGTGTGTTGGAGGAGGTGCTCTGTAAGGAAGTCTGAAGGAAGGGGCAGATTTTTTTCGGTTGCGTACTTTCAAATTCTAGCGCACTCGAGCTGGTTTCTCCATTCTTACCTACCCTACCTTTAAGCCGTTGGTTTATTTAGTATGTGGTTGTGTAATAATAAGCAGGATTAAGTCAAACACATTATCCCTTACATATTTTGAATTTATAAACAAGATTAATAATAGATTAAACTAAATCGATCCTGAAATGCTCTTTTTTAAAGATGCTTTGGCTAGTTCAGCCTTTACAAAATAAAAGATAGAGGGGATGACGTGGGTAAAGGGATCGCAATCCAGATGTGCAATAGCACATGAAATGCCATTTTAACCATGAGAGTAAATGATCTCCAAGCCAACTTTATCTTTGCATTGCATTTTTTCCTCTCCTACTCCACTCTGCATTTCTATAAACTCACGTTCTTCTGCAGCTTGGCCTTGCTGATGTCCGACAGGCTGAGGGCGAACAGCGCCTCCCTCGCTCCGACGTAAAGCATGTCGTCCTCCTGGCTGAGCAGCAGGGAGGTGTAATTGAAAACGCCGTCCACGGAGAATCTCTTGGCCGACCTCTCCTTTGCATCTGGTAAACAGCAGGAACAAACACACAGCGGAGCTTATCATCACAAATCAGGACAGAACGGAGAGGAACACGCGGGTACAGAATACATTCACATGCTTAAGAACAAGAACACACTCAAATAGGTCCCCAATTACAACACTCACAAATCTGCTCACAATGTTAAGTTGTTTTTGTCTTCTGCACGGAGATAAACAATTATTTCCATGTCACAGTGCCAATTATTTGAAATGCATGTTGGGACAAAATACCTGACACACATCGTATAACCAGACAACAAAAAAAAGGTAATCTGCTTGGTCTGGCCTACATTCATTTTAAAGCTAGAAAAAGAGCACCGTATTTAAATAAAGTACACATAATTAAAACATCTACATAAAAGTACACCATTTTGTCCAATGCAGTGATTTCAAAAAACAAAATGAGAGCATTATATTAATATGTTAGTCTATGTATCTGAGGATGGATTAACCATGTAATCAGTGAAACCCATTAGTCTCTTGGTAAAAAGGCCACAAATTAAAAAAAAAATGATTCAAATTAATATAGAAATGTAAAAGATTACAAGTTATGCGCTGAAGTTGTGGTCTGTGTTGAATCTAGGAAAAAAACGACTTACAAACTGCATTATAACACAACAAAATGCCACAAAAATAGTCCCGCATGTTTTACTAGAAAATCTTCTTCAAAGCCTCACAGAGAGCCAAAAACAAGTGGACAAGACATCGCGTTAAGTCCAACTGCAGCACAACACAGAGTGGTGAGCTTAAGTCAAATCAATTTGAATACAAAGGGGGAAACCCACTAATCATGTTGTCATTTCTGCACCCCTCACTCCTGTCCTCTCCGTTTATCGCACAGCGGCAGCTACAGTAGCCCCATGAGAACCTGTCACACCAGTGAGCCACATTTACACTTCCTCTCTTTACAGCGCTCAGACCTGGCAGCAGAGTAAAAAAGCCTCTTCCACTTAACACCAATCCAAATCTCCTTCATTCTGCCGCTCGCCAACCCTCTTCAAATGGATCCATTTAGCAGTGGGCCACGTCGCTCCCTTTCCTTCAGCTTTAAATAGAGATTAAATGTACACTTTTTATAGAGCGTTTACCTTGGAATCACTGACATGTCAGGATCCTCGACAGTGGCTTCAGCAGCATGTGTTTTGTTTACGACTGTTGACTGTATAAGTGGAGTTTGGAGTGATTATTGTAACAGGCAATAGCGCTGACAATTGGCCACTCCTTTTCCGTTCAACTTAATGTGCTCAAATGACCCAACATAAAAAGGCAAGTCGGAAGTCAACATTGAAGACCTTGAAGCATTGACATCCTTACAGAAACAACAACTGCATTTGCTCAAATGACCCAAAATACAGGCAACAGGAAGTCCAGATTGTATTTTTTTTACAAGTCCTTGAGATCCTGTCTGTGACCATGTGGATGTTATCACTTGATATCTAACAACAAGACAACATCTGTCAGAGGTCATCAAAGACATCGGACATGTGCAATCAGATATTTGTGAGTCCGTTGCTTACAAACTTCTTAACCTCTGCAGTTTTCTTGACCAGCTTTGTAAATGTTTATCTATTGCCTCTCATTCCTAACATATTAAACAGACTGGATGTGCTCTCCAAGCCAAATCGCTGGGGGTCACAGACTCCATTTGCTTGTCCAAATAAGATTACTGGCTCGTATCTGGAGTCGTCAACACTAATATTTGCCGCTGTTAAACCATTTACAGCCTTTTCCTCGTGTCAAACGAGCACACTGCATTCAAATTGAGATACTTTGGAGTGTCTCCAGCACTCCAGGTGGTACGTAATGCAAATGGAGCCAGTACACTGCAATAAACATTTACAACCCACGACTTAAACTTTACAATATGCTCACAAACAAATGGTTCTTATAATGCTGCAGGCACTTTGGCACATGATTGTTTTCCCCTTATGGGAGTGAAAGCCAGCTGCACAGCCCCCTTCCTGTCCAAAATCAAATCTAAGGCCCTTTCCAGATCAACAGCCCTCATTCTGTTTAAAACGTTGTGACATCTGGAGTCAATGAAGAGAGGACATTCAAATCCAGGGAGGAGATTCACAATTCAAAAAGACTTTCTATTGTCATGCAGGACAGGAAAACATACACACTTTCTTACTTGGGGAAGCTGGTTTTATTTCAAGTTAAATTAAGTCCGTTACAAATGTCCTAAATGCTCATAAAGGGAGCTTTTCGGAGTCCCAGCGGACCCCGCCGATGGCAGACAAAGGAGAGCCATCCCTCCTCTCAACAGGGGGACATATCATAGCTCGACTGTCACGGCTCCCCTGAGTTTAAACCATTCATCGCGACCAAAAACAGCCTTCCCTCCGCATATTAAAACTCTCTGACATAAATCACAGTGACATCCTCTTAGACAGACAATGGAATAACGAGCAGAGGAGAGCAAACTTATGAAACTTTAACTCAGAGAGCAGTCTGGGGCTACTTAGCAGTGTGTGTGTGTGTGTGTGTGTGTGTGTGTGTGTGTGTGTGTGTGTGTGTGTGTGTGTGTGTGTGTGTGTGTGTGTGTGTGTGTGTGTGTGTGTGGGGGAATTAAGGTTGGGGTATGAAGTGGGAGTTAGGGCTGCTCAATTAATCGTATTTTAATCGCAATTACGATTTTGGCTTGCAACGATTATGAAAACAACATAATCGAAATAAAACGATTATTGATTTTTTTTTATTTATTTTTTTTTATTATTGATTTTTCAGTTGAATTATACTTAAAGTTCAGGGTAATTGACTGTTTTCAATAAATTGATGTTTTCAAAGTAAATGGATAATCGTTTTTAATAATCGTGATATCAATTATTGACCCAAATAATCGAGATTATGATGTTTGCTATAATCGAGCAGCCCTAGTGGGAGTTGTTGTGTCCAGGAAGATTGGATTGAGATGTTGACCTATGAGAAAAACATGCAGACAAGGGAGGAAAATGTTATTTTTCAAAGAACTCTGGGATGGATTTCTCAATAAGAGCAGAAGGTAAAGCCAGTAACAAACTTGGGTTGTGTAAAGCTCTGATTATTTTAAACAGAAACGCAACTCTTTCTCTCTTTTTCCTCCACTGTGGGTTTTTTGGGGAGATTTTTAGCACTTCCAATGCAGCAGATCCGTGTGTTTTAACATGCTTGCAGCAGAATGCCGGGCATCTGCAGGCCATTTCACAGCCAGGCACCAAGGCCATTCATCACCCACATGTTTAATCAGTTGGCTGTCACCAAAGCGGGGCCCTTAACCTCGGCTAATGCTCATCACATCATTCCGTCCATCAAAATGGCTGCTTTATTTGTTAACATGTTGAATTAGTTAGTCCAGCAGGTTCTTTAAAGTCAAACTGTGTATTTATGCCTCAATTCTTTGTTTAAAAACTTTACAAGCTGCAAAGTCAATTGGCAAATGATCCAAACGCATTGGTACAGATGAAAAGATGCATCGTTGGAGGACAATTTCCAGATGGATGATAAACCCCAGCATGCAACACTCGCAACATTTAGCAAGGGAATACATCTTCTCTCCCTGAAATTGAATTGTAGCAGTGTATCAATTCAATTTTTCTTTTTCTAGTTGAGGTAGAGATGGCAGGAACAAATCATCCCACGGAGGATTTCAGTGAGCAACTGTTCTGTGATCAAAGAAAATGTTTGTGAGAGAATCAGACTAAATCTGTGCACACACAAGAAACAGATACACACTTGTTGAATTCAAATGGAGATACGAGGGCAAACCCATACTTGTTCTTCACTACCGAAAGTTGCTAATGTTAATGCAACTCATATCGGTTAAGACAGACACACAAGAAAGAAATAGATTTGCATATACCCCGCAAAAAGCAAAAAAAGCTAAATTAGTTATCTTAATTCGGGATCTTTACAGATGTTTACGTACCCAAATTGTGTTAAATTTGGATAAAGAAATTCTAGTTCTCCCCCCACTCCCACGTGTTTCCCGTCTTAATGCTAAGCTAAGCTAAGCTAGCTGTAGCTCATGAGTTGTATACAATTTTTCTCATCTAGATTTCCACAGAATAAACAATAAGTGAATTAAGTGATATTACATTAATACAACTTTCTCCAAATAGCATCATATCTTTGACTGAATCAAATAGCTAACTCTTTCAGTGACCAGACCTCCAAAATAGCACAGATACATCAATGAAGACTTCCTCTGAATCGCTTCATTCACATCACAGTGTTCAGTGTGTGCCTGCTCCCCATTGAGGTAACTAAGATATCATCACAGGGTGCCAGCCTGCAGACAGAGTGTCACTGAGAAATAAAATACATGCCCGCACTTTGGCAGGCGTCATATTTCAGAGGAAACTGAGCAGCATCATCCCATTTTTCTAAAGTTTAATAGTACTCCAAGGGCGGGGCGATTGATTGGCTGCCTGGTAGGCATACAGTTCGCCTGCCAAGACACTCCCAAAAGCCCGACTGTAAACATGCCCCAGATTTACTAAAGCAGCGTGAGCCAAGTCACAAGGCAAGGGGGCAACGGGGACAAAGGGGTTTGCTTGTAGTCAGGCAGAGAAAACCCAAAGGAGAAGAGAGCCGAGCTGATATTCATCTCACACCAAGCTCTGCTTATCTTACATTCACGACACACATTTATCCAAAAATAAATAAATAAAACACTATCCATCTCTGCCCTCTGCAAGGCGAAGCGACACAACAGCGCTCAGCTTCAAGGCTCTCTGTTTGACGTGATTTGACAATAGAGCTGATAGCGGCGCAGGAGCTCCTGACAGGAGTCGCCTCAAGGTCATCGCATTACTGATCCTCGTGATATTTGGGCAGAGTGATGGTTATTCAATCGCCGGTGACTACTGGCAACAGGAGCTGCTATAGTATGCAAGCCAAGTCAGCACAGGAACACTGTTTGTCTGCAGTTAGAGGACACACACCCCTGATGGGCGGAAAAACTGGGTTAGAGGAGAAACTTCAAATGTTTCCTTACCTTCT